CTTGCTTGTTCAGGTGCAGTGTATTTTCAGAAGTGTTTGCTGTAATAGCAGCTTACCTTTTTGAGGAATATAATTACTTTTTTTCATTATGTGTCAGAAAAGCAAGTTAAATTCAGCAGCCTCAGTTTCCTAGGTGTTATTAGTTTATATTTAGGTAGTAAAAAGACCCTAGATCTTTAAATGTTTCAACAATTATTGTGTGGATACATATAGATGAGAGCTTTACAGAGTATTAAACATTTACCAAAAGTTATTTTCTGTTTCTCAGACCAAAACCATCTTTTGCAGGCACCCCAAAGTCACCAAATCTATGACAGTTCAGTTCAGAATGAGGAGAACAAATCCCAGTGCTGACAAAAAACCTGAGTGCCAACAGAATCTCGCCATTTGCAGCAGAGTAGGGAAGAGAGTAGTGCTGGGAAAACCTAATTAGTCATTACCGTAGAAGCAAGCATATTTTTTCCATTTGTTACTAGTCCCCTATAGTGATTTCATTAATTGGAGCCTGAACATAAACACCTTTCTTGCTGGCTGCTTGAGGCTCGTATTCAGCTGTGAAGAGATATAAATACGTGTGCTGCAAGGAGGTGGGTGACTCCTGATTGCAGCTCCATCACTGTTGGCATTGTTTACGTGAGATGTAGCTTTCGCCTGGCTGGCTCTGGTTGCATGGCACGTGGCAGAATCCTTCTGCATTGCTAAATGCCAAAAGACCATTGATGTTAAGAGGACATGCTGTGGATAAATACTAGATCTTTTTGGTGAGGGGTAGCAACATGCTTGTCTTTGGCTCTCAGATGCGGTCATGGAAGTGTGCCATTTGTGCTTTGTTTTCTTAAAGTTTCATTCATATCACAGTTTCTCTTGGCTTATTGACAGCTTCAGACAACAGTTAACAATTTCCATAGACATTAGAGGAAGATAGTGTCAAGTGTTCTAAGCAAACATGCTAAAACATGTATCTGTCATATGAGAATTGTAGGGTTATTTGCAGCAGTGGGAGGTGCACATTTTTTTAAAGAGTGTTTCTTAATGATTTCTGGCCTTTAAAATCAGAAGTCCAGATCATAAGTCAATCTGAAAAATAAAAAATTGTTGAGGGGAATTTTTGTTCTTTTCACCTGTATTCTGCTTTTTGGGCAATCTAACATCACGTTCCCATATGTTTCTGCACTGTGGTGAGGGCTAGAAATGCTCTTTTAAAAAATTAAATCTAAGCGGCTCACATAATCATTAAAATACAAAAGCTGGATCTTCAAACAAACTAAAATATCCTAATTAAATAGTAGGGGATTTGGCAACTTGGCATTCAGCTCTTTTCATAATGCCTGAGTGAGTTTCATGGTGAATGACTATGAATGATGAGCAGCTCTGCTGCTGAAGGGATTGATTTTCTTTTCCTTATTCTCTAACTTGTTCCTCATAACTTCTTGCCTGTGCCACCCTTTTCTGTATATTCTTACTTTCTCATCTGTTTTTATCACCTGCTCTCCTTTTGCTGCCATTGTGCTCTGCTTTCTCCCTGCTTTTGTCCTTCAGCTTTGTTGGAACAGAATAATACCCTTGTTTTTCAGTTTGTGCAGTTGTGGTATAAACTGCTACGTTTTTGTTTAAGGGTGATTTGAATTTCATGGAAATATATGAAACTAGTATAGGAATATGATTTGTACTTCCACAAAAGAGAAAGAAACAAAACAAACCAAAATATTTCCATTTGCTTTTGGAATTATTTTTTTTTTTTACTATATACAGAGAAAGATCTATTAATCAAATATCAAGTTACCAGTTACTGAATTGACATTAGGGCTTCTAACCTCTCAAAACTTATGTTTTGAGCCAGATGCCAATTGATTAAGTTTTGGAATTTGGAAAAAGTCAGAGCCTTTCTTTAGTATCTTGGAGCAGGTGGAAATACGTCTCAGTATTGGCACTAGAATACTGTGGTCTTTACGTACATTTCCATTCTCCGTGAAAGCATTTATATTCAGAGGCTTTAAAGGAATTTTCCTTTAAATTATAAACTATTTTAATGTGGTTTAATATCTTTTAGAGATTGAGAAAAACAAAGCCTGGTTTCACTTAACCCTTCATTTGTGACCTGTAGGCTTAAGTGGAAAATAAGCCTCGTACCGAAAGTGAACTTTCCTGTTTTTCAGCTTCTTGTTTCTCCACAAAACAAAGAAATCAAGTGGGTAGAATTTAGAAATGACATACAGACAATGTTTTGGCTCCAATACCAGTATTCAAAACAAGAGGCCTGCTGAAGCAGTTTGACATTGGTATTTCTTTTCTTTAGCTAAACTGTACCTCCCTCAGAGATTTGTACCTGATTTTTGACCGTACCTGAAAAGACGCTCCACCTGAACCTGCAAATCCCAATCAACAAGAAGCTTTCCTCTTCATTGTGTGATGCTTCACAATAATTAGTTAGCAATTAGTGGCTTAAAATTGCAAAAGAAGGTCGGTATGGGATTATTTTTAAAAAAAACCCTTATTCTAGCCTTGTCTTTTTTAAAAGTTTTCAGCCCCCACTGTAATGTCTGACATCAGACTTTAATCTACTGCAGTGCCTTAAACCAAGGCTCTAGTGCTTTTTACCGGAGCAGTTGCAAGATTGTGACTACACAGATATTTAAAACCCTCATGCAGATCAGGCTTTTGCTTCTGTTAAATATGTGGGTATCTGGAGCTGCAGCTTAACGCCGTTTTTATGCTAAGTGGAACTTTATATAGAAAACGATTGTGTTTAATCAAGGACTTAAGGTTTCTTTGAAGAGCAACCTGTTTTGTTTCTTCTCTTAGCTTTTATGGTATTTAATCTGACATTTTCAGTAGGTGCCAATGATTTTCCTATTTGTTCTTCTCCTAATTAAATTAACCTATTAAATGGCATTATTTTGATATTACTTTAGAGAAATCTCTGTTCTGTTTTATCTGCCATTTAAAAATATCTTGAAGTGAAATGGTTCACAGAAAGATTTACGAAAAGCCATTTTTTCAGACTCAGAAGTGTGATAAAAAGTTTAATAAAAATGTTTAATTTAAATCATGTGTACATTGAAACTTAAAATATATATTCTCAGCCATTTGTTTAAAATTTACCATGTGGGTTCATAACCCACTGCTATATTCTCCTTTTCAAAGTGATGTTCCTATTTATGGATGGAAGCTCAGAATAGGATTAGTTCTACACTGTTACATTAGCACTTGATAATCAAGATGTAGCTAGAGATCTTCATTTGCATCTCAGATGCTTAGTCCATCTAACTACTTTTAATAACTGGAGCAGGGAATTCAGTGGGGTGACTTCTGTTAGTGCTTAGGCACAACAGAAACCCTTGTCTGGTTAAAAAAAAAAAAAAGTTAATGAGCTATGAAGGAT